ATGGCAAGTAAAGAACTTTCGCATTCTCAACTTGTAGCTACGGTTTTACAGACACTATTTGTATTTAAATCTTGAATCTTATTGTATACTTCTTGGTTTTGTGGCACTTATTTTGGTGCTGTAATGTTCATCTTTTTTGACAGAATCAATCACCTCGCTGCAAACAGCGTGACTCACTGGATGTGTTTAAGTCTGCCTTTAATCTCTATGTGCTACTGTTTTCAAAATGCCCTTCATCACTGTTAGCAACAACAACAACAACAACAACAACAACAACAGTAACCTCTAGACAGCTACCTAGATGCTGAAATCTCAAGTTTAATGACAGTACTCACTTTCCTGCATGCAAATGTTTCACCAAAACAATTCCCTTGTCACTATTTGGAGTGAACACTGTTGGCGCATCCTGTTCTTAGCCCCGCCCAAGATGGTTGTGATTGGTGTGAAGGAATACAAACACAGAAGAGCTTTTTTCCTTCTATAGCAGAATAATGATGAGGTGCAGCCAGACCATTCTACAAAGCCCTGCGTCAGTGCAAGAGAGAAACCTGGCTGCAAGACAATTTGTGGTGTAAAGTAATTTACAAATTCGTTCAAGTCTTACTGTTTACATGTGTAAGACGAAATGTGTCATTTGTACTTGATACTGTGGTTAACTTCCACATTAGTTGCTCTGCAAGTAGCAAAGACACCATAATGCTTAAATGTGAATAAACTGTTAAACGCTAACCTGTAGATGGTATAATCCTTGGTGGTTAGCATCGTTGCCTCGCACCTAGAAGATCCCCGGTTCGCGTCCCGCTGAGGACTTCTGGGATCTTTCTGTGTGGAGTTTGTATGTTCTCCCTGTGCAACGTGGGCTCTCTGGGTTCTCCAGCTTCCTCCCACAGTCCAAAAACATGTTGAGGTTAATTGGTGATTCTAAATTGTCTGAAGGTGTGAATGTGAGTGTGCTTGGTTGTCTGTCTCTAAGTGTAGCCCTGTGATAGACTGGTGACCTGTCCAGGGTCGGCTGGGATAGACTCCAGCTTTGCCTTTAAATAATAACCAACAAGCCTGGGTAAAGCTGAAGCGTAATATTTCCATGGCCACTTTGATGTTGTCCTACCTGTGACTGATACTGGCAACAACTATTTAGAAAAACACCTTCAATATTTTTAAGTGTCAAGAACTTGCTTTCATATCCATGGACATGAATGAGGTTGAAGCTCCAGTCACACACAGACACGCACACACACATAGTGCCCTTTTAGACTCGATGGGGGGGATGTTGAACATGTCATGGAAATGTGATGGAAATATGGGATGGCTCAGTATGTCCGGAGGGTGGAAATTTGGACTCCATCTACTAAGCAACCAATGAATATAACCATCCAGCACATTCTAAATTGGCTGCAGTTTGTGAATAATGTCTCACGTGGTTCACAATGTGAGAAATTAGCCACAGCTATTGTTTCAGCTATAGAACATAGTCACATTCCTTAATGACTTGCCATCTCTCCTATGCAACTCCACAGCGTATTTGACAAGATCAGGTAGCAATCTATTAATACAGAGCAACCATTCAGCTATGCATCTGCCAACATAGCATTTGTTCCCAGAGAATACCGACTTGTAGCTGTGACAATAAGTAGACCCTCACTACTCTCTGCCTAAGAGCATTGAATACTGGCATGTCTATTTCTGTTTTCCCCCTAAAGACCTCCACCTTCTTTGAATTGTCGCTGCTGTTAGAGACAGTCAAGGCTGTTTGTTTGGGAGTTAACCACTATGACTGTAGGATCAGGATTACCCAACACTATTTGTGAGTGAGAGGCCTCACATGGCTAGAGACAGGGATTGACTGTCAGAAGTGTGACAGAAAGGACATTTGTCCTGGGGACATTGTCGTCAGGCCACATCCCTGTCATTTACAATTGGCTTTTTATAGTCCCTGAAGCTGATGGCAACTTGCTGAAACAATCTTTTGAAATGAGTCATTGGCTAGCAAAGGCCAAGTCGTAAATGGAAAAGGGCCATCCTATTATGAACAGGAATACACTGTCAGCTGGTTACAAATTATAAGGACTCATCCTCTGGGCATCATGAATCTAAATTTGACATTATTACAACTTTCTTATCATATATGTGATGTAAAATGTAAAGCAACAGTAACACCACATTTAAAAAACTGTTTTAATTTTGACTTTATCAAAAGGGCTGTAATGGGATATACTGTAACTGTATTTAAAGAGTGCAGAAACAGAAGTTTAGCATTTTTCCTTGGTTTCTCCACAAAGTATTTGAGATGCTGCAGTTCAATCTTTGCTTTCGGCCCAACTTTGCAAACAAGATTGCTAGTTACTGCTTCTTCAGAGATGACATCTGAACAGAAGTTTCAACCGTAACTTATATCAATATGTTGCTTCATCATCGGTGTCTGCTGTGACTTGCTCAGTGACTAGCCTGAGGTCAAGAAAATATGATAAGCTAAATGATCCCATTTAGGTCAACTGGCCTTGTGTATGTTGTGACTTTACCATTGTTAAACACGCTTATGTGAGTTTACTGTTCTTACAGTTGCAGCTGTTTACATTCCACCAAATGACAATGCCAGCATAGGTCTAGATTACCTGCACAGCGCTATAGCCTCATAGCAGCAGAGCACATATCCAGAGGCAGCTCGTATCATAGTTGAGGATTTTAACCATGCAGATTTAAAGACAGTTCTCCCCAAATTTTAGCAACGCATCAGTTGTTCCACAACTGGAAAAAACACTGAACAAAGCTTATTCTAATGTCAATGAAGGCTTTAAATCAACATCATTTCCACACTTAGGCCAGTCAGATCATTAGTCCAAACTCTTAACCCCAGCACACACACCCCTCAGAAGAAAAGCTTAACCCACCATAAGAAGTGTAAAAACATGGTCTGAAGGAGCTTCCTCTCAGCTGAAGGACTGCTTTGACTAACTTGGACATTTTTGAGAATTAGGACTTGGAGGAGTACACATTAACGACTACATACAGAACTGCCAACAATTACATCCGGGTATGCCCCAACCCTGGATGACAAAGAAGTTAAATCTCTTCTCAAGGACCACAACACCGCCTTCAGGTCTGGTAACAGGGCATCAGGGATGCTAATGCAAGGAAGACTGAGGGGCACTTCAACAACTACAACCTCCGGTGGATGTAGCAGGGCATTTAAAACATCACCATCTGTAAGAGTAGCAACCTCACTTCTAACAGTGGCGCCTCACTGGAAGAAAAGGGGAAAATAGGGGAGGTCACTTGTGACTGTGGTGCATATGTCTTTCATATAGTATTTTTGTCCTTTAAGTAGTACGAACAACTGTATGAACTTTTTAATTTCTAAGTTTAATTTAATTTAATTTAATGTAACTTTCTCCCACATCACTGAGCTAACAGCCTGTGTTGTAAGTATGATATTAATTACATTAATGGCACGGTGGATTAGGGGTTAGCACCGTCACCCTGAGTCAGCTGGGATAGACTCCAGCCCCCCCACCACCCTAGTGAGGATTAAGCGGTGTATAGATAATGGATGGATGGATATTTCATTAATGGGTTCCTATGAAGCTTTCAAATTTTGTAGTGCACTGGGTGAACCAAGTCTTTCCATCTGAATTTTATTTGCTATCTGCTTTGGCAGGGGAGTCCATAAAGTGGTCTGTGAATATTCAAGCACCAAACATGTTACAATGACAGCCTTGGCACTCCAGTTCCAATAGGAACTTACTTTACCAAATGAGTGGACAGATTTTGTTCATGCTGTGTACATTAGTAAGAACTTCCTTTTTGTTTTTAACCTTGATTGGTAGTTTTTTTTAATAAAATGCCCCCAGGGCATCTACCATGGCCTTCTAATAAATTCCCGTGTTTGGAAATGATACTGCATTACATAGATTGTTACTTTAAAAAGCAAACAAAAAAAAAGGATAGTAAATCACTGTAGTGCAGCATCAATCTCGCTGTAATATTTAAAAGGTCGGTTCCTTACTATGTTAAGGTATTGAATTGAATTAATATTGCAGAATATGGTACTGAATTGCAACAGCACTTTATTCCTGTATCCAATTAAAGTTCTTTTCAGTTTTTATATGTAGATGTATATACTTGTATTTTCTAGGAGATTGGGCTTGCCATTGTTGAAGCATTGAATGGTATGACTAAAATTAGTTAATTCCAGTTTATTTCAACTTTATTTATATAGCACCAGCTCAGAACATATGTCATGTCATGGCACTTACAAGAGTATGGTGATGAGCTTACAAAATTACAGAGAAACAAACAAATTCAAAGTTTCCTATGGATTCCTTTAAACAGCGCTTGGCAACAAAAGGAAGAAACAACTTCCCTTTATCACCAAGTAACCTCCACCAACACCAGACTCAGGGAGTGCAGCCATCTGCCTTGATCAGTGGAGGTGAGGGTAAATGGGAGAGAGAGCAGGATAGCAGATAGACAACAGACAGACAATGCATAGCAACTAACCCATTGGAGGTCAATAAGGCCAGTGGGTCATCTGAGAACAACCCTAAATAAGTGCTTGCTTATTGCAGCATCTCATCGTGTGGTCAAATGACACAGAGTGCAGTATCTGCCATAAAGCTGTCCAGGTCAGCTGGAAGGTCAAACTCATATAAGACTGAAATCTACTTCGCTCCTGATTATTCCCATACTTGGTAGTAAAATATAATTTGACACTTACCCTTGGTGAAAGAAAAACACAAAAAGCTGTTTAGAATCTTTTTTGACCATATAAGGTGGTAATTGTAATGTAACGTGATCTATCAGTTACTTGACTTTGAAATTTACACAAAAAAAATGAGCCAAGGAAATACCAAACCTTTCCAGTAGTAGAATTTTCTTTTTTTTTTTCTTTTTCTTTTTTTTTTTTGCCACACACTCTTATAAAAGGAATGTTTTAAAACTTGTGATTTGACTTCAGCTTTCTGACGTGTTTTGTGTCTGTGTACTGTGTGTTTGGGCTGTAGCTGGAAGAGGAGCTGCTGGGTCTGCAGAAGAAGCTCAAAGGAGTGGAAGATGAGCTGGACAAATACTCTGAGTCCCTGAAGGATGCCCAGGAAAAGCTTGAGCAGGCAGAAAAGAAGGCAACGGATGTAAGTGAAGGAAGCGGATAATATTACCTTTTTCACATAGTGTCGAACTGTTAACTTTCAAACATTGCTGAACAAGGGCATTGGGACTGGACAAGGTGCTACCACTGCAGAACAAAATAAATAATTAAAAAGGACACATGAGTCCAATTCAACTTTTGCTTAAAAAAAAAAAATATGCTAAGAAAATGAGTGAAAACCAAACATACAAGTTTGATGTAAAAATACTCAACCTTGTATTCTGCAAAGATACCTGAGTGTTGTGCTCTATTCCTACCTCGTATTCCTGCTGTAAATGTTCCTTCAGCAATCTAAATACTGACTAAGTCATAATTTACTTGGTCTGTATAATATTAGTGGAAAACACTACCCCTAGACTTTCACTCGAGGGCCAGTAATTGTGGACAGTTATGACTTCCATGCTGGTTTTCTTGAGTTATGAATCCTACCATTATTATTGTACCATTCATGACCAATTATAGAGCAAAATGTCTTGAGTGACGCAAGAGAGAATGAAGCACAGAAACAGTCCTGAAAGGAATTGGGCCTCCTGTGTGCAGTGTTACGGTGATGTTACCAAAGATGGAGAAGAGTTGGAGCATTGAAAGTATTTGTTTATGCTTCCACTGCTTACAGGAGTCTGCTAGTGTAGCTGGTGTTCACTCTAACATGAACATTTCTGCCTCGGGACTTCAAGTTCGATTCACAAACACATTTGTGCTGTGCATCCAGCAGGAGATATGATAGGAAAACCTTTTATTGGACAAATCAGCTGCTATTCACAGTCAACAGTGTCTGTTGAATGATCTCTCTGTTAAATGGATGCATTATACAATGATCATCAGTTTAAAATAGTTTTTAAAAAAGTAGTTTTAAATACATTTTTATTGTCATACACCTTTTGTAGCTGAGGAGTTTTGTCACTGATATATTTATGAAGTTTTAAAAAATGTTAAGGCCTGAGATGTTTTGCTCCTAAGTCATGAAAAATTTAATATAGTCAGAGTTTACAGACGACGCTGGCTTTTACCATTCAATGTTACAGTTTATGTGGAACAAAGGTAGGTTCAAGTTACAAAGGAAGGTACAATGCACTGATCAAACTGCAGGGTACAGGTTAGTATATCTGTGTCTACATGCGTTACTGTCGTGGTTATGAGGCAAGTCCTGATTTTGGTCACATGATTTAAATATGATGTTTACATGGTGAAACACAAAAATGGGAGACTTCAAAAACCTGATTATATCTAGGATGCTCAAGTTCCTATAAGAGCGGCAACAGTTCATGGCAATGATACATACCAGTGTCCTGTAGTGAGAAAGAAGAAATTTACTGTGGCAGTATTAATAAACAGTATACCAAATACTACTGTACTGAAGTACCAGCTTCATCCGTGTATCCTTTATTTATATCTAGGGTGATGTGATATGCCATTTGTTCCAACTGATGCCACTGTCAATTAATATCTGGTGAGGTCAAATTATAGTGTATTCATATTCCTCCCTCATGTTCTTCTGCTTCTTCAAAGTTAATGCTAATATCAATAAAATAAGTAACTTTGTTCACAATACTTTTTGGGTTGGACATTTGTGATCCCAAATACAGTCGTCCTTAAATTTATTCATATTCAGTTTAATTTAATTTTTATTTCACTAAAATATAATTTAGCAAATTTTTATTTATTATTACTTTTTTTTATTTTTAGGTTTCTAGTTATTTGAGTGACTATTGTGAATTTTGCCTTTTCTTTAATGGAAGGGTATGAATACATTTGAGGACGACTGTAAGTAATTAAACAGTAGATGTCACATGATTATCTGTGATATTAACACTAACTTACAAAAATAAACGAAACAGTTAACTGCTGGAATCAACTGATGCTTCGTGTAATTTTAAAAATGAAGATATTAACACTATGACCGGAAGAACCGGAAGAATCTGTTGCCATGGAAACAGCGTGACATCCACAGAGTGTAGGGTGACACCAGGTAGAGTCTGTGGATGACACCGGGGACAAGGTGCTGCGTGAGTCCTCCGAGCATGGCGACTTTTACATCCATAGACGCCGTAAGAAGGAAGATCCAGACGCTGCAGCAGGCGGCGTTCGAGGCGGAGGACCGGGCCGGGCTGATGCAGGGGGAGGCGGACGAGGAGAGGAGGGCCAGAGAGACGGTAACACACCGAAGCTCCGTCCGAAGATCCGCTACTCCGGAGCCTGAGGGTGTTCAGGAATGAACCTCTAGATTCTCTAAGTGCCAATGAATATTGAAAGTAGCCATCTATTAGGCCTAGTAACTGTCTAATCGAAACTGAACGTAAAGGTAAATGCCATTCTGTGAAACACCTGTAACTGCTCCTCTGTTCAGGTCGCACCGACAAAAATGGGTTAATGTTTTTTTCACTTCACAAGTAGATGGATTAATTTAATTTGTCCACGTTTGGGTTGTTGCTTCAGAATTTGATTTCTGAACTTTTTTTTTTTTTTTAAAGATTCTAATTTTCTTGTGTCTTCTGCTCGTGGTTGGACTGAACCATTCGCACTCCGCAGCCACACTGACCATGAGATGTGTCGGCTAACTGTAGGCTAGGCACTAGTTAGCTAACATACACAGTACATTGTTGGTGAAGTTACTGTAGTAATGTTGTCTTCCTTCTCACCTGTCTGTTTATTTATTCATAGCCATTCATTCACTACCCTCTACTTGAGGATGTGTCGTCACACAGGTGGGTGAGGTGAGGCCGTCAAAAAGTAGCCTATTTAAAGGCTTCCTCGATTTAATCTGAACAGCAAAACAACAGTCATACAGTGACCTTTGAGTAATGTCTAGATGCCTTTCCAAACTGTCCCAGAATAACGTAGTTGATGCATTATTCTCAGGTTAGGTGAGCCAGGCTACGTGGGCAGTGACTGACGTACACCCCCCAGGTGCTAATGGTACAGTCCAGCCAACAAGCTCAAAATACAGAAATTGAAAAATAAAATATGTGGTCATTTTTCTTTTAACAAAACGTTTTAACAACATCTAATTCTAAAGCATCAATTCAAATGTGAACAATTTAAAAAAGTTAAATGAGAAGACTGTGAAGTCATCAGAAATGGATAATTAATGTTTGAAACCCATTTTTCATTTAATTCCTTTTAATGGTGTGAATTGAACAAAGCAATGCTACAGCTTTATTACATGACAGTGGTAACGGGACAAAATTAACTTTAATGTTGGTTTGAAGTTTATTATTGTAAAGTGTTCACCCAATCGGCAGAGCTCAGGTGCTTTGGAATGTATCACTAACATACATTATGACAAGCAGGAACATCACAGACATAAAATGAAAAGAAAGGAACAGATAATCTCTAAACTGCAAGGGTTTAGCTTCTTTAGTCTCCAAATGTGTGGCATGACTGATGACTGAATGATAGTTAGACAAATGTGCCTTTGAACTTTGCAGATACTTTCACACTGGCTTAAAAGAATGATATTATTACTGCTTCTTTTTTGGTGTTATTTTTCTGCTCCTTTTTAAATTTTAAAGAAGGTGGACCCAAAGAGCTGCTTGCTTTTACTGGTGTTTTTCTTCCCTCTTTCTATCTGTCTTAATTTTGTTATTGCTGACATTTTCTGATGAGCCATGGAGGGCCAAATTAGAATGAATATAGTTATGCTTGTCATTTGAATACAGGATACAACCAATATTGTTGCATTGGTTATATTGTTCTAAGTAATATTTGATGTATTTACATGCACAAGTTGTCACATTGTCTGTCTGCTGTCTCCTCTATAGGTCAGATCTGATTATCATCATCATTATGTCAATATTGGGACTTGTTTGTTTGTCTCTACAGGCTGAGGCAGAAGTGGCATCTCTGAACAGGCGTATCCAGCTGGTGGAGGAGGAGTTGGACCGAGCTCAGGAGAGACTGGCTACCGCTCTACAGAAACTGGAGGAGGCTGAGAAAGCTGCAGATGAGAGCGAGAGGTGAAGAGCTTTATGTTTGGATGGATCCTCTTAATGCAGTTTATGTTTACATTTAAGCAATTCAAAGCCCATGATTTTGGTTTTTCAGTGTTCACTTCTAATTTGTCATGGTTGGCTAATGTCATTTTGTACGCTTTTATCTAAAGCGACGTACATCTAAGAGTAAATACAACACAAGCAAGGACCTAGTCAGAAGAAAACAACCTGGATAGGTGCCATAAAATAAGTTTAAGTGTGATAGGACCTTGGTGTCTACAGGTAGTGCGAAAGGTAATAGGTCTCTGCAGATCAAACAAAGTTTGGTAACTTGTTCCACCACCAGGGAACCACAGAGGAGAAGAGTCTAGCTATCGACCTCAGCCCTGTTGTGGTGGTTGTATCAAGCGGCTTTTGTTGGTCGAGCGTAGTGAGCGGGAGGGACTGTAGACCCGAATGAGAGAGTTCAGGTAGGAGGGAGCTGTTCTCATTGTAGTTTTGTGGGCAAGTTTCAGAGTTTTGGATTTGATGCGGGCAGCAACTGGAAGCCAGTGAAGCGATCTGAATAGCAGGGTGACATGTGCTGTTTTTGGCTGGTTGAAAACCAGACATGCTGCTGCATTCTGGATCATCTGCAGAGGTTTGACCGTGGATGCGGGGAGGCCTGCCAGTAAGGAGTTGCAGTAGTTGATACGTGATATTACAAGAGCCTGTACCAGGAATTGTGCTGCTTGTTCAGACAGAAAGGGTCTGATCTTCCTGATGTTTTACAAGGCAACCTTTATTGCAATCTAAGATAGATAGGCAATGTTGATTATTGCAAATAACAATTATCTGAACATCTGTAAAGCTGAGTGATACATGATAGTATGCTCTACATCAACAGTCATGAAATCTGTTCTGTTATTTTTTTATTACTACACAATTAAATTACTTGATCAGAACGAGCTGTGTGATAAAATATGACTCATGATTCAAAAAGATTTGTCCTAAAGTTCCAATAATGCAACCTTTTTTTCCCAAAGTTTGCACTTCTAATTTGCAATGCAGTTTTTAATTTTACATCTGTCGTCTCCAACTCCAAGCTTATATTCTAACACATGATGTAGCTCCTTCACAGCAATTTGCTGTAGGTAGATGTTACAGTTAGCCCCAGAGCAAAAATAATAAATTGAATCACACATATTTGGTTGACTGCTTATCGCTGTCCCTCTTGTCATTTAGAGGAATGAAGGTTATAGAGAACAGAGCAACAAAAGATGAAGAAAAAATGGAGATCCAGGAGATGCAGCTGAAGGAAGCCAAACACATCGCTGAGGAGGCTGATCGAAAATATGAAGAGGTGAGGGATCACTGCTTTTCATCGTCATTGTTGGACTTACTGCCAGTGGAATGACAATGCATTTTCAAGCACACATCAAATGTTTTAAAACTTATTTAGAAGAAATTAAAATTAAAACAAATTAATTATATCTGTAAATGTATTGTGATAGCTCTGACCAACTTGTTACTTTAGAAATTTGAGGGTTTCCTGTAAAACAATGAATTTGTCTTTTAACTGAATATAGTACATGTAGTACAGTATGTCGAATGCAGAATAAGACAAGGCAGTTGTTGTGTTGTATTAGCTTGGATGAGTCAGGTGAGTGTGTGCTGAATGTCTGCAGGTTGCACGTAAACTGGTGATCCTTGAGGGTGATCTGGAGCGCTCAGAGGAGCGAGCCGAGGTGGCTGAGGCGTAAGTCAATACCTCTTGCACCAAAATTCACACTGACATAAGAGCCACTGTACATTATTCATGTCGTCATTGTAGAGATCAAGTGGTCACAACTATGACAACATGAGATCATACACCTTCACTTGTCATTGATGAGTTTCATACTTTGCTGAGATACGGTTTGTCCCCTTGTGTTTATATTGATCATAGTGAGAAAACTCAATAGTGAGAGAAGTGTTGCATGTAAATGTTAGAATGATTCTCTTTTCATCTGCAACTACTAATGGCTGTTTAATGTACTGATTCTGTGTTCATTCTTTTTTGTGATATAAAAAACAAAATCCTGACAAAATCAGTGTAGTATCTTGATGCTACTTTGCTTGAACAATCTTCTCCGTCACCCACGGCGACAAGACTAGAGCTACCACCTATGTCCAACAGGTGGCAGTAAAGTAATACATTTCCCTGCAATCCTAATGCATTACAACCAGTAGATTCCAACCCCTACAGAAGCTGGAGGCTATGTTTGGTGTTTTTTCTTTGTAAATAAACTAAATTATTAATCATTTGTTAAACCTTCTGGTTAATATTTAGTGAATTATTTATCAGACAATTTTAACACTAATGCAAGTTGTTCTTGCATGAGTCTGGCATCATGTAAGCATGTTTGAATAATCACAAGCTGCAAGACATAACAACTGCACTAATCACATAGAGACCTGGATGTGTGTTTTTGTGTCCTTCTGTGTTTTTGAATGCATGAATGCACAACTACTGCGTGGACTGTTATGGCTGCCCTGGCCGCTATCTCCCCTCACCTCCAACCACCTGGACTAACCCCTGCAGGCGAGTGAGGGAGCTGGGGGAGGAGTTCAAACTAATGGATCAGAATTTGAAGTCCATGATGTGTGGCGAGGAAGAGGTACTTACTGTGCGAACTCCTCCCAAGTCTAATTGTAACTTACTGCCTTTGCTACTCTGACCTGCAACCTCTCAGCTTCTCTATATTTTCTGTCTAACCTGTATTTACCCCCCTAGAATATGAACTTTCTTTGCATATCAGCCTTAGTTCCTACTACAATAGGGGTCTCCAGGACAGCTATTTGCCTTGATGACACACACATACTCCTAGATGTGTCCTTCAAAAAGTGTCAGGGTTTAAGTTCTTTTACTGTCCTACCTTTCCAGTCACTGCTTTTTCTTCTTTTGCTTTTCCTCTTTCCAACATTGCTCAGTAAATCAGGTGACCTTGAGGAAGAGTTGAAAAATGTCACCAACAACTTGAAGTCACTGGAAGCCCAGTCTGACAAGGTACAGTAGGAGTTGAGGAGCATTTTAGCTCAAGAGTGACCAGCCAGACTGTACATATTGTATGCTGTCTGTATTGATGTATGGACTGTAATCTGAAATCCCGTGAACCCATGTCCATTCAACAAAACAGTCCTCATTATCCTGCTATGGAGTCATGAAAAACTGGAATGGAACTAACTTGAATTCCAGCTTTTGTTTCAAGTTCTCTAGCATTTGGCAAGATGTAGAGATGCTTTAAATGGTGTTACACCATGTTAAAATGGTGCTAACATTTGATTTGTGCATAAACTAAAATTGAAAAGTTTTATTGACCAAAATGTAATCACAGCTGTCATCTTTGCTTGAATTTAAGATGTAGAATTGAATATCGGGCAATCTGTAAATATCTTTCTTAGTATGCAGTAGACAGTATTTTGTTTATCCATAGTGAACTTAAAGCTGATAGCAGTAGATTAGAAAAAACTGGAAATACCTTAAAAATGCAGTTGAGTTGAGTTGTTAAGCAACCTTAGGATGGTAAGATGGTATCCTAATGACAAGGTTCAAATGCTTTACAGTTGTCTTGCTTGCATTACTCAAACAAGATTCAAATAATCTTAATTAATACAGTCTTTTTTAAAATAACTTTTATGCTTGGATTTCAGTACTCACAAAAGGAGGACAAATATGAAGAGGAAATTAAAGTTCTTACTGACAAACTGAAGGAGGTGAGGTTTTTCACATCTTTACCATGTCACTGTTTCTGTTGCTTACTAATGCTGACGGTGTTACACATGCCAGACTTTGTACTGACACTTGTTTTGCTGTGGTTTGTGTTCCAGGCAGAGACCCGTGCAGAATTTGCAGAGAGGTCTGTGGCAAAGCTGGAGAAGACTATTGACGATTTGGAAGGTATTCAACACTCACCTTTCATCTCTTACTGTGCTTCCACTGGCATGTGTGCTCACTGTCCTTTGATGAACAGTGTTAAAGTAACAAACAGCTTCACTAATCCCAGTTCGAGCATTGGAACTGACTGTGCATTGTAGTTTTGAATGATAAAGCCAATGATAACTGGATGGACCACATCAGCTCTAACTTAATTACTGGTCCTTCAACTGCCTGGTTATGCAACCTGAGTAGTGACTTGTACATAGTGTGTGAATATACAGTGGTCACCAGTGACAGATAGTGCTCAACTCACTTTTAATTTTTTTTTTAAACTCCTTGGTTTAGTGGCTTTGATTAGCAGAGTTTTGTGAAAATCGGTCAAGCTATATAAGTAAAAAGTACTTTATATGACACTAACACAAATGAAAAAAGAAAGGCAGGAAACATACTTTGCCACGTAGCTGACATATAGTGTGGGGTGCCATTTGACTGTTGGATTATTGGTTTCATGAAGTTACAAAGATGGTCAGACATACCAGCCCGTTGTCCAGTGTTGGAAAGGTTTGTGCTTGCGTACTTGGGTGTATGTATATGTGAGAGAGAGCGTATGTGTGTTTATGGAGGGGGTTTGAGCTAAATCAAATGAATATAGTAGTAAGTGATCCCATACTTTTGTTTAAAATGCTCTGTGGCGTTGTTTCATTCTGGCTGTTGGTTGACTACAACTGGTTCCTGATCATCTAACTCGGACATGATATATGTCCACATACAACCTTTTTTCCTATTTTGAATGCTATTGTTGTTGTCCTGTAACTCGAGTACCTACGGCATCTACAGTACTTTTGATAGCTATGGTACCACAGACAAACAAACAAGACAAACAAATACTGTCACATTGTCAGAATTTTAGCATCACCTTGGGACAAAAATATTGGTTGTCATGGAATCCCTACTTGGACCCTTGTGCAGAAAATGCATCCTAAGCACAATGTTTGTTTAAAAAAACTTTCTTTTTCTCTCTTAGAACAAGGTTTACCCCAACTGACAAGAACATTTACTGCCAGAACAAGCAGTTAACTAAATAAACTGGCTACAGATAAAGGCACTAAGCTAACTACATAACTGGATGACTCTTAATTTAGGGGATCAGGACATAAGAAAGGATAGCTTGTGTTGTTGTTGCCAAGATTCACCTCTAGGATCTGGAACAACAAGGCGTATATAGTAAAGCAGTAGGTGAAGTAACTCACCAGGTCAAACACATTAGCACCTTATTGGCTGATAGTTCTCATCAGAATCTCAGCACATCAGCTGATACATAGCTTGGGGCCAGACCCCGATGACCTTT